ATTTATTATATTTTGTGTTTAAAAATTTTAAAAATTAGATTATTTATACGGAGGGTCTCGTAGGTAGTCTATGACCCATATAAGATTATATTATTTTTACTTTACCAATGTAAATTAATCCAAATACTTGTAATGATATGAATTTTTAATAATAAAAGAAATAAACTACAAAAAAAAAATAGTCTCAAAAAATATTACTGCCGATCTTGTCCGGAACTTTTGTGCGATGATATCAGATCAAATATAAATATGGATTGATTCTTTTTAAAAAAATTTTTTTTTTTCGTGGGTAACAATTTAAACATTTTCTCCATTAATACATTATTAGAGCATTTTTTTTTATATATATATAATCGTAAGTAAAATTTCAACGAAAAAAAATTTTCTTTTCCTTTGAAATTATTAATTGTTTTAATTTTGTTAAGCAAATTGTTTTTTCTTGCTTTTCTTTTATTTCCTTTTTAAAATTAAATTTATATACAAAGCTTCAAGATATGAAATTTAATAAATTGACTCGCTATTTGATAAAACATTCTACGCTCCCCTTTATATTCTAAGCCTCATTTATTGTAATTATTATTATTATTATTATTAATATTTTATTTTATTCATCAGATGTATAAACTTAATGCTATCACTCGGGCTTTTCCAAGGACTTTCTTGGGTAATAGTCGGCTTGTCATGCGCGTTGCGAAAGTTAGTCAACCTCTAACATATAAAGGTAAGGTCTTTTTTTTTTTTTAAAAAAAAAAAAAAAACAAAACAAAACAAAAAAGAAAGAAATTATCTTAACCTTACAGTTTAATATTTTAAAATAATAATCATATTATTGATGTTTTGAATAAATAGGAATTCGTTTTTATTCTGATGCTCATGAAGACGAATCTTTTGAAGCATTCACCGAACGTTATATTAAATTCTTTGAAGGGGTTGATGATCGTTTTGAATTATCAAGGGGACTAAATAATTGTTTTGCTTATGATTTGGTACCAGCGCCATCTGTTATTGAAGCATCACTTAAAGCTGCTAGACGTGTTAATGACTTTCCAATTGCTGTTAGAATTTTTGAAGGTTTGAAACAAAAAGTTGAAAATGAAGGTCAATATAGTCAATATTTGGAAGAATTGAAACCAATTAAAGAAGAATTGGGTATTTTGACCAAAGAAGAATTAGGTCTTTAATAAATAAATAATTATATATATATGTACAAAAAAAAAGAAATTTTGGGTGAGTGCAAATTTTTTTCCTCCCTCAAATTTTAGCAAAGATTTGGGATTGGTGCATGATAATTTATGTAAATTGATTCTTTTCAATTCTACTTTAACATATGAAATATATATTTATCACTAACATGTTTGTTTAATTAGTATTGCATCGAGAAACATTTTTTCAAAAAAAAAATTTTAAATTATTAAAGATTTAATTATTAATCGAATCAGATGTTCTTATGTCATGACCAATGAGATTTAAGAAAAACTACCCATTGTATTCATCTTGACAAATTGTGGCTCTGCGAATTTTCGCAAAAAATAATAAATACGACATTTTCATTATATATATATTTACATAACCATTATATTTTTTTTTAATTAAAATCAAAAAAAGTTCATTTTGAAAAAAAAATCATTAAAGTTTTTTTTAATTCCTTAAATTTTTGGAAAAGTAGTGCGGAGGTGAAAGTGGAGTAATTTTTGTTAGTTAAAGGACTTAGTTTTTAGGTGGTTGATCTTGCTGAGTTTGAAGTTGCTGATAACTTTCTCGTTCATCTTGATCTCTGTTATCTTGATTTTTTTGTTGTTGAATCCTTTTCGCTTTAGTATTAGCTATAACACCGAAAACAAATCTATAAATTAAAAAAAAAAAACATGTATAAAATGTCTATTAAGATAATAATAAAAAAAAAGACGCGTGAATAATTTAAAAAAGAATTTACCCAACGATATTAAAGAATGGTACCCATAACTGTGGAGGTAAAAATTTTTGAGCGAAACCCATTGCTAATGGTGAAACGATCCAACTCATTTTCATAATTGGCAAGAGAGCTTTTTTAACGGTTTTTTGAATTTGTGCTGGAGTATTAACACCTGCAATAACTGCCATGGCAATTAAATATACTGATAAAAAGAATTAATTTATAATGAGTTAATACGAATTAGAAATCGGTATAAGATAACATAATTTACATACCTGTATTTTGAATTGGTGTGATAATTAATTGAGATGCCAGAATTTGTAATAATTTTGCACCAGCTCCGGTACGTTGCCTAAATATCTTGTTAAGTGCTTCAAAAAGTACATGATTAAGCGGCCCGCTTACTAAGAAACCTAAAAACATTTTACACGATCGATTAGAAAAACGGTTTACACGTGTTTTAATGCTATAATGCTCCTTAACATACCGTACAAGGCCATCTTTACAACCTTTTTATCAATAGTAAAATATAATTTTTCTTGGTCATTTTCTTTAGCTTTTCCTTTTCTTCTACTATTTATTCCACTCAATTCTTGAGCAACAAGTTCTTGAAGACCCGATAACACCCCGGAAGTTATCGCTTTTGTCTTCAAAGGATGTATAGTTAATTGTTGAAGGTAAAGTGCCAACAAAAATGCTGGAAAAGATTGAGACGTTTGTTGGATAGGAATAGATTTTGATTGAACAGTCATATTTATTATATTATAAATATTTTTTTAAAAAAAAATATAAAGGAAATAAAAAAATGAATAGAAAAGTAAAAATAAAAATTTGAGGGAAATAAGAAAAAAAAATTGCGTGATTTTATACTTTAAAAATTGTCAACTAAATCTAGTATATCTATCGATAATAGTATGATCTTTTTCATCTCGAATAAGTAAACATTGAAAATTACATAATCCCTAAAAATGTAAACCAGTTTATAAATTCTTTCTTATTATAGTTAGTTTTGATAGTAACCAATCAGCACATTAAATTATAGTTGATAAATTTGGCCATAAATTTTAAGTATAGAAAACTACCGGAAAAATATTTTTAACATAAATTAAAATTAAATTTTCCCTACAAATTTTCCTTATTATTGCAAAGGTTCAATATAGCTTTAATAAAAAAAAAACTATAAAAAATATATACTATTCCTTTAATGGTTTTGCTTTCAAATTTAAAAGAAATTTATTTTTACTTACTAATTAAAGTTAATTGTGGATTAGTTATAATATTTTTATTACAAAATTTTAAGTAAAATCAAAAAAATAATTTTTACATTAATTAGTAACTTTTGCATTAATTTAAGATTAAAAGTTTTGAATATTTTTAATAAAAGTATTTTCTTTATAAAAGCTAAAATTTATAATTTTTTTTATTTTTCTATTATTAAAAAAACTTTATAAAATATATTTAAAACATTTATTTATATATTTAAATATTATTTATTTATAAAAAAATCATAAATTTAAAGTTGAAAATTTTGTATATATTTAATATTTTAATTATTACAAATGAAATTTTATTTGATTGATAATAAATTTTATAATATATTTTAACTAAAAATTAAAAAAAATTGTTAAGTTTCTTTCTAAAAAGAATTTTGTATAATAATTTATTGAAAATCATGATTAAATTTGAATAAAAATTATTATTATAAAAGGGATAAATATAATTATTTATTTATCAAATCTTTTGATATTTAAAATATTATAGCTAATTTCATAATTCATAGACCACTAATAAGTTGTAACTAAAAATATTTTATAATAAAATATTGTGACTGAATGTGACTAAAAAATTATTGATGGTTCATAAATTATGAAATTAGCTGTAAAACAATAAAAATATTGATTGAAAATAAAATATATTTTAATTTTTATTTTAATAAATTAATATAAATAATATTTTTTAATATTAATAATTATTATAAAATAAATCAAAATATATAATTTTTAATATATATTATAATAAAATTAAAATTTTAATATTAATAAATTAAATTTAAAAATAAGGTTTATTATAATAAGTATTTTTTTAAAATATATAATTTATTTAATTATAAAATTTATATTAAATATAGATAATATTACTATTTTTTCTTTAATAGATTATATAATTTATTATCAAATTTTTATGTCAAAAAAAAATCACTAATAATTTCTTAAATAATAACAAAATCAAAAATGAATTGAAATTATTTACTGCATTTATTTATAGAGTCCAAGATAAATTTGGCCCAAAAAAGTATAAAAATATCAGACCAATACTTTCAGGTGTTTGAGGGTAATTATTTTAATTTCTTAAAAAATGTATGATTTTCTAAAAAATGGCGTGCTGCGATCATCTATTTTATTCTAAACTTAAAAGAAAGTTATCAAGATACAAAAAATTAAAAATAAAATTGTTTTCCTCAATATTGGGAGGTAACTTAATCGGTCAAAGACCGTGCAGGATCGGGCGCAAAAAAAAAAGTTTTAAATGAATAATACATTATAATGAAATCTTAAAAGGAAAAAATTTTCATTTCAATGATTCGTGAGAATGTTTTACAAAAGATATGCTTTAAAATATTAACGTTACAACTAGGAATATGGATCAATCTTTCGGAATCTCTTTTATCTCGTTCTTTTCTTATTTTTTATTTTTTTGATGTTCTAGACAAATATTCTTCATTGATTTTGAGTCATTATTTTAATCGTTTACATAATATGACCAAATTACTTTTTCGAAAATCCTTTTTTTTAATGGTGTGCAAGCAGGTGAGATTTCGTACTAAATCTACTAAATCTAAATATTTCATTTAAAAAATTATCTAAAAATGTAATTGATTCTCATACAACCTTATCCAAATATTATCCAAATATTATTATTCATTGTTTAAATTTTAATTCCTGATAAAAAAGGTTTTATCTCAATAATGGAGATCCAAATCAATTGTATAAATTTCAAAAAAATTGCGTAATTCCTTTTTATGAGAAAACTTTATAAATATACCTAATATATCTGTAATTATTTCAAAAACACCACTAATTTATTAAACATGTCTACAAATATTACCTGGCATGAAGGACACATAACTCGTTCGGAACGAGAAGATTTACTTAAACAAAAAGGGTTAACAATTTGGTTCACTGGACTTTCTGCTTCGGGTAAATCAACTTTAGCGAGTGCTTTAGAACAACATTTGTTACATTTAGGTGTAGCTAGTTATAGACTTGATGGTGATAATATTAGATTTGGTTTGAATAAAGATTTGGGCTTTGGTCCAAAAGACCGTACCGAAAATATTCGTAGAATTGCGGAAGTAAGTTCGTTACTCAAAATTTAAGCTTTTAAAAAAAAAAAATAAAAAAAAAATGAAGTGTGTAACAAATCCATTTCAAATCGAATTTAGGTTGCAAAGCTTTTTGCGGATTCTACTACGATTGTATTAACTTCTTTCATTTCACCATATCGATCTGATCGCGATGATGCAAGAAAATTGCATGAAGATAATGGTATCCCATTCATCGAAGTTTTTGTTGATGCTCCATTAGAAGTTGTTGAACAACGTGATCCTAAGGGTTTATACAAGAAGGCAAAGATCGGAGAAATCAAAGGTAATTTTTTTTTTCTTCGAAATTTGTGGCACAGCAACAAATTTGTCAATATATAACTAAAATTCGTGTATAGAATTTACCGGTGTTTCTGCTCCATATGAACAACCATCATCTCCAGAGCTTCATATAAAAACTGATAAATCTTCAATAGAAGAAAGTATAAAGGTAAGATCCTCCTGATTAATTTATATTTACTATGCAAATTATTAATTAAATGTCTTTATTATTTTTATTATTAAATAGATTTTAGTAAATTATTTAAAAGAGAAGAATTATATCGCTACTACATTATAATATAATAATTTATTTGTGTAAAAAAAGAAGTTTTGTGATATTAATTCAATTTTTTATATAAAGCTTTTTGGAATTAAAAAAAATATTAATGTAGTATGATGAATGTACAATACTAATTTAAATCGAACTTCGATTATTTTTGATTGTAATGAATTTTCTGTTTTTAAATAACTTTTTTTTTTTGGAACTTAAATATAAAGTCTCCGTCAAGGAAACAACTATTCATTCTAGATTTATAAATGTTATTATTATAAAATGTCATGTAACCTTATTTGTTTACTTCTTCAACTCCAAACATCTTCCAGGTATCTTCCTTTGCTCCTTAAATCTTTAATGTAATTTGTTGCACTAATTTCATCCATTGCACCGCATGATTGTGCAATTTGGATAAGTCCGGAGTTAACGTCACGTGCCATATTTTTGGCATCACTAAGGCGACAAACAATTTAATATTAGTAATAAATCAAATTTTCTTTGCTATATTAACAACAAAAATGCTTTAATGAATAGATACTATACCCGCATACATAGAAATAACCACCACGATTATAAATTAAATCCCAAACATATTCATCATGCTCACGAAGTTTATGCTGTACATATACTTTATTCGACTATACAAACGAAAAATAAATTAGTATTATAGATATTAAATAATCGACAATCGAGGGGAAATACATACCTGTTCTCTTGAAAATGCTGTTACCAATTTTCCATTTTTATCAAGAGTGGTAAACAATTCATTTAACTCGCTTTCATATAAAAAGTCTTCATCACGTCTTCGACAACCGAAAAATAAAACTGTGTCACCAACTTCAACTCCTTGAGCTTTATAATGTGCCCTTTCAATAACAAACCCTCTGAAAGGTGCTACACCAGTTCCAGGACCTACCATTATGACAGGAATCTTGGGGTTTTTAGGTAATTTGAAGTTATTATGCCTAATATGTATGGGTATCATAATGTTGTTGGTTGACTCGTCATAATATTTATTTCTTGGTCCAGAATATAAATAAGATGGGGAAGTTTCTGGATGTGGAATATTTCTTAGTTTACGACTGACTTGTAATAAATAATTAGTTGCAAGACCGTATACAGTCTTTTGAGGTGCCGTTGAAGGATTAAAGGTTAATACAGTAGCAGTAACATGAATCGATGTAGGTGTGGATTTGGACGAACTTGATATTGAATAATATCTGGTCTGTAATCTCGGAAGGGTCTCAATAATTAAGTCTAAAGGAATTGAATTCAAAGGTTTTCCATCTGGAGAAATCGATTCCAAAACTTCAGCTAATGTAAGATGTGCATCAGACACTTTAACTCGATAAGCTTCCTTGTCTTGACCCAAAGCAGTGAGCTTAGATTTGCCTTCCTCTGTTGGTGCGTAATTTGCCAAAGTGGCAATGAATTGACGAGAAGTTGGAACATGGATATCGAGATAATTTCTGAAAATAGTAGCATAAGTTGTTGGAATTGGGAATGGATATTTTTTAGACACAGTTGCTATTCGATATAGAAAATTAATATATAAATATTAACGCCTTGTACATCTAAATATTATAAATAAATAAAAACACGAAAAGAATACTTACAATCTGTACTTTCCACTGAGACAACAGTGTCTCTCTTTTCCCAAAGACCCAATATTTTTAGCAATCTTTCAACATCTTGTTCGGCATTCATGGGCCAAACAGCAACATGGTCACCTGTCTCGTAATGAATACCAGATCCATTAATGTCCAACTCCATATGAACACAATTGCGAATGGTAGAATTAAAAAGATCGCGAGTAACGATAACCGGAGATGGATAAGGATTCTTGGCATCATAAGTTGGGCGACTAAAAAATATATATATTAAAAAAACGAATTTAGTTAACAGTAAAATAAAAAAAATACAAGTAAAAAAAGTTTTCCAATAAACTTACTTTACATTAACCATTAGACTTTGTTCATTGTGTTCACCATAATAAACATTATTATTGTCAAAAGTTTCCAATTCAGTAATTTTATAAGCGGCAATGCGATCCCTATAATGTAATTAACAATAAAGAGTATAAGTATAACTAGAAATTTTGAAACAAAGGTCATAATTTTTGATCACATACCCAGTTATAACTTCATTTTGATCGATTTGCATAGCTTCACAAACCGCTTTCCACATATCCTCTTTCCAACCGAGGAAATCTTCTTCTAAACTACCATCATCATCACCTTCACCACGTTCACCAATTTTAGAAGCACCAAATTCAGTCAATTTCTTATCAACTGTTCTGCCAACTGCGTTGAAATGTTCATATGTTCTATTACCCAAAGCGAACACGACATAACGAAGAGAAGATAAAGGTTTCTCTTCCACTGGTATTCCTTCCGAAAATTCAGGGGACTCAGAGGTGATCAATTCCCAGAAATCGACAGCATCATCGGTAGGTTCACCTTCACCTATTTACAAGTAAACAAAAGATCAGAATTTAATTAGTGAGCTTTAATCGATAAATAAATTAATATTGATCATCTTCCAAAAAAATTATCTAATGGGTGTATTACCATAAGTAGCCAATAAAAAAAAAGCTATATGGTCTTTTGGAAAGGTATCAAGAAGTGTCATGTCACAATCCTCAATGTCAACGGTCATAGTTTTGAGACCAAAACGTTGTTGGCCTTCTTTTGCAAGACGAGAAGCATAATCTTCAGCGGTTCCAGTTTGAGATCCATAGAAAAGAATAACGTTCTTATCCTAGATTTAATAAATAAGTGAGTATGAAAAATATGTAATTAAATCATTTACAATTTGCAATGAACTTACCGTATCACTCATTCTCTTGAGGAAATTTTTATTTTTCTTTGGTGGACCTGCAGGTTTGAGCGTAGAATTCGATATTGGTGCAGGCTGGGCGGTAACATTTTTCTTGTTACCAAATAAAGTGTCTTTATAAATGTAAAGAACGGCAGCAGCCCCGGCAATTATTAAAAAAATGAGATCGAAGGTATCAATTAATGGTTCATCAGTTTGCGGATCGGTTAATATCTGATCAAGGTTATCGCTACTCATAATGGGCTATTTTAGATCTTGAAAATAAAGCAAGATTTTTAGCAGGGTATGTATTATTAGAACAGGTTACTGTTCTATTTTTAACGATGATAAGTGAGAGCGCGCAAGAAAGTACAAGAAAAGTAAGAAAATTTTTTTTTTCCTTTTTTTTTATTTATAAAAAAAAAAAGAATAATAATATAAATTAATTAATATGTTCTGATTAGGAAAAATATTCTTTAAATCGTGTTTTGTGTTATTTTGGAAATGATCCGAATTAGACATTTCTCGACCCTTTTATATTTATTGAACCATTATTCTCGTGATCTATTTGTTTCAGGTTTTCTATTTTTTGTTCGGATCTTATTTTCCCGATTTCAAAAGATTTACGAAACTAAAGCCGAATATCCATTTTGACAATAAAATCCTTATTTATCAGCTAACTTTTTTTTTTTCAAGTATACGTGTATAAGAAACATTTGTTGTTTATTAAAGTTTATTAAACAATGTTTTTTTGGTACAATGCATATAATATTTACTTATTAGAAATTTTCATGTGAAACTTCTGGAAACTTTTGTTACTATGATGGATAACATCCAACATAATTTCCGGAACGTGGCGATTGCATAATGCGTACCAGTTCATAACAGGTAAGTATAATTATTTGAATTCGGAGATTGCCTTTTCAGGAAGATTTTATTCTGCATGTTTATGAAATCATTATATATAATTATGTAAACGCAGATGTCATCGTTATTCGTGAGTCTCCTTCACTACTATCATCCATAGACAACGAATCCCTGGTTGCTTATTCCATTCATTTGGTCATTGGTTAGAACTTTCATGTGTTAACTAGAAGATAAGAAAGTTCTTTGTTTTCTGAGATCGAATGCATATTTCGGATTTAATAGTTATTTGTCTCCTTAATTATTGTAATGACCATATAAATTATGTCAAATGTGCCGATTAGTCTGCTATTCTTGTATTTAAATAAAAGCATATGTTAATTTAGTAATTCTAAAAAGGCATGTCAAGTGAACATCCTACCTATATATATTAACGTTTAATCTATAATCTATAATGACAATCCTCCTAATTACCAGCTGACTAAAGTACCCCTATAGTAAAATACCCTCCCCCGCAATGTATGTAAGGAACCCGAATATTATACATAAAGACGCAATTGTACAATACCCGGGTATTACATATCGACAAAAATATTAATAACATAATTAAAAAAATTTTCAATTTTTTAATCAAATCAATTATCATAAGCTAATTCTTGTTCTTCATATTCATTAATATTATCAAATTCTATATCATTATTATGGTCTTCTCTATCATTATTTATTTCTTCATCAATATATATTCTTTGCTCAGTATTTTTTATTTTATTTTGTAATCTATCATAATCAAACATAGCAGCAGAAAGCTCATAACATTTAAATAAATTTTAATCAAACTGATATTCCATAATCTTTTTACCTAACTAGCAAGTGTAGCAGGCTTTATATTATTACTTCTGAAATTTAGCACTTTACCCAATCAAAAAGTATTAAAATAAGGTTAATATAAATCATCATCAACTTTAAAAGAAAAAGAAAGAATCAAATTGGTTGATCAATATCAAAATTCATCTGATAATTCTATTAGTGATAAAACTGATTTCTATTGATTAAAAACTGATTAAAAAAAAAAATAATAATAATATAATTAATTTTATAATCCTATTTATGATGAATCAGAACTGATTCTAATTGAAAAAGAAGTATCAATCGATAATAAATCTACAAATTAAATGAGATAATATTCCTTTTGAATGATTTACTGCTTATAATTTTAATGATCTTGATAAATCAGATTTTAAATATTTTAATGCAAACATTAACTTTAATGATCTGTAAATATTGCTTTAAATATTTAAGTTTCAAATAAGATTTTATCTTACTATTATCTTTTTCATAAGGGT